TGTGTGTGTGTGTGCGCGCGCGCGCACGTGCAAGTACAGGGGCTAGAACTCAGGGCTTTGTACATTTTGTAAACAGACAGCTTAGCTTTTTTCACTCAAGAGTAGTATTCTACCACTTGAGTCACAGGTCTACTTCTGTTTTTCCTCTAGTTAATTAGAGATAAGAGTCTTATGGACTTTGCTGCCCTAGCTAGCTTTGAACTGAGAATCTCACATTTCAGCCTCTGGAGTAGCTAGGATTACAGACATGAACCACTGGCACCTGGCTATTTTTTTTTATTAGTTTGCACTAGTTCAAAATGGAGTGACATTTTTAAATAACACATTATATTTAGTAAATGTGACAAGTACACAGGAATACACAGATGGTTTGTTATCCCCCCAAAAAAGCAATTAATTCTGCTTATGTGACAGAAGGCTTTAAAAAGAAAAACAAGTGACATAGAAGCCCAGCACTAAGGGTTAGTAAGTTTGTCATGTGGAAAAGAGCAGGAAACCCTGTTATTTTTCTCTCCTCCAATTCACTGCTAGGCTCTAGCCACTCACTTAAACAAGAACTGAGTAATTTATCATGGCTATTTGTCCACTGGTCTGGGTCCCCCATTCATATGATTTTGAGTATAGGACCATCATGTACTTTTCTTTATATGGTGGAACTCCAAAGGTGTTCAACAAAAAGGTTTTCCTTCAGAAGAGCTTCTCTTATATACTCAGTTTGATTCCATCTTCAAAGGCAATGATTAAAAAATACATAAATAGCCAACATTCCATTGTCCTCTAAGAGAGAACTGAAGAGGAAAACATCACTGAAAACAAAACAGTGGCCCACCCCTAAGTCTCCTACTTTCTACTTTTCTCCTTGGAGTGCAGTGTCAAGAATCAATGTATGTGTGTGTGTGTGTGTGTGTGTGTGTGTGTGTGTGTGCGCGCGCACGCACATGTGCATACATATGCATGTGTGTTCACATACATGTCATCTTGCTATGTAGTCCAGGATAGCCACTAAACCCAAATTCTTACTCCTTCAGCCTCTCCCATTAGTCTCCTAAGGACTGAGATTACAGTGCATGCGATCATGCCTTGCAGAAGACCTAAGTTTATATCTACACTCTCTTACTACCTAGAAAACCTCGGGAAACCCACGAAGCCCATTCTCTTCTCTGTGAAATAGGCCTGGCACAACTATTTGGGGCATTTCCTTCTTCCTAAAGAAGTTTGGTTGGATTTTCTTTTTCCATAGTAGTACTAGGAATTGAGCCCAGAGCCTCACATTTGCTAGGAAGCTCTAACCTCTCCAGAGCTACACCTCCAGCCCTTTCATTTTTTTTTTTTAAGATATGATCACTAGTTAAATGTGCCTGGGGCTAAGTCTTAAATTCTTGATCCTTCTTTATCTGCCTCCCAGAGAGCTGAGCTCACACGCTTGCCCTACCACACCCAGCTCCACAGTTGCTTCTTCATAAACACAGCCTCTGAAGCAACCACCTTTCCTAGAGACCACGTGTCCAGCCACTGGCATCCCCAAGAGGAGAGGCCAATAGGGCACAAGAAGATCCTACCCAAAGAAACTGTACCCACTGCCTCTTCTCACTGGTAAAAGACATGGTTAAGACTTGGAGAGAGGAGAAATACTTTGCCCTTTGCCTTTTTTTTTTTTTTTGCCCTTCCTATTTGTGCCAAATTTCCCCACATCAAATTAAAGATGACAAAAGAAGTCTTATTTTAGATGGCTAATGCTGATGGATTTAGCTGAACTCTAGACCAGGGCCACAGAGGAAAGATAGCCATGTGTTCTTGCTGACGTGGACAAAGCTTACCCAGCCCGGCACAAGAAAGTGCTTTCCCAGAGAAAATGGTGTCCTCCATTTACCACCTCCGGAACTAAAGCTGCTTTTACTCATTCTGTGTTGGATAAAAGGCTTTTATTATATGCTTCCCTCCTTTGTAATACGGCCCCCCTTTTGGGGAAAAATCTGCAGTAATAAGCAAGCTAGTCTTTTCACAGAAGGTAAACAGAGTGGAGTGAACTTAAAACCTCTCTACTTTTTGTTTTACCCAACCACATAGCATTCCATATTGCTTTCAGTTCTTTTCTTCCCATTACCGTTAACAGTTATTTTTAAAGAATCAGGACAGAAGCAGGTCAATAATGCCTACAGATGTCACAAAAGTATTAGGCAGACTCTGCATAGAGAGAGAAGCATGCAAACAGTTGATGGGCTGAGATCATTAATAATCCTCCTTTTACCAAAATGTATTTTACCTATATTGATATGTGCATACAAGACGGTTCTGTTAAAACCTCACTGCACAAAGTTGCTCTCCATTAAATAACTATCATCTCTACCAAAGGGTGGTGTTTACGGAGCATTGATTTTAGGGGGGGAATGTTGCTTTTGGGGGGGAGCTGGGGGTTGGGGGTTGTTTTGTTTTTTGTTCTTTTGGTGCTGGTCCTAGGGCTTGTGTTCAGGGTGTGGGCCACTGTTCAAGGCTAGTGCTCTACCCCTTGGATCCACAGCTCCACTTCCAGCTTTTTGGTGGTAAATTGGAGATAAAAGAGTCTCACAGACTTTCCTGTCTAGGCTGGCTTTGAACTGTGATCCTCAGATCTCAGCCTCCTGAGTAACTAGATTATAGGCAGTATGAGCCACTAGCTTTCAGTTGATTTTCTTTCTTTAAGGGTACAGCGAGGACTATAAACAATGGTTAAAAGAGAAGAGAGAGAGATTCCATATCTTCTCTTCCTTGCTACTGTTTTTTTGTTGTTGTTGCTGCTTTTGTACCAGTAACAGGACTTGAACTCAGGGCCTAGGAGCTGTCACTGAGCTTTTTCATTCAAGGCTGGTGCTCTACTGCTTGAGCCACAGGTCCACTTCCAGTTTTCCTAGTGGTTAATTTGAGTCTCAAGGACTGTCCTCCAGGGGCTGGCTTTAGATAATGATTCCCAGATCTTGGCCTCCTAAGTAGCTAGAATTATAGGTGCTGGCTTGTTACTACTAGGTTTTGCCTCTATGTCAAATGTTTCTCCTGCATTAACCCCTCCAACTTGCTTTTCTCTTCTCCTTCTTGAGCTAGGAGTAGCTATGAAAGAGATTTGGCAGCAGAACAACTTCTCAGCCTTCTTCTCCTGGAGCTGAATGATGGTTATCATCTTAGGAAAGAGGACGACCAAGCTCTCTGATGTAGACATCACCCAGTAAATCTGCTTCAAAAAGAGGAGGCTTGCAGTATGCTAGTAGCTCATGCCTGTAATCCTGGCTACTCAGGAGGCAGAGATCTGTGAATCACAGTTCAAAGCCAGCCCTGGCAGGAAAGTCCTCAAGACTCCTGTCTCCAATTAACCACCAAAAAGGCTGGAAGCAGCATTGTGGCTCAGGTGGTAGAGTACTTTCCTTGAGCACACAGTATGCCCAGGCTCTGAGTTCAAACCCCAGGACTCAAACAAGAAAAAAAAAAAAGAGGAAGCACACTGTATCTACCTGTTAATATCCTCAGGGCATCTGTAATTGATTGTGGGGAGGGGTTTGATGAAATTGGGTATCTTATCCTTTGTACAATTATTTAAAAATAATTTTTAAGACTACATATCACACTATTTTATATGTTCTTTCATATCTTCTATTTGTACTTGCGTGGTACAGTTTTATCATTACCAGCTACCAACTCCTGAATTGTCTGGAGGAGAGAAGATAGGAAATAAGACTTCAGAGACCACCAAAAATTAATTTACCAAAGAGCAAAGGAAACTTAAAACTAGGAAACAAAATAATAATTTTTAAAAATCCATTTTACTCTGCTTTGAACTAAAGTATTTATTACTAATAGTATTAATCATACTGTAGCTATATAGAGAACTAATACAGCTGAAAAATTAAAATATAATTTTAAACAACCCAATGAATAATTCCAATATGTCAAAAATTTTACAAATAACTTCTTTTTTTTTTTAAGACAGTTTCCCTATGTTGCTTTACAGCCAAAGCTGACCTCAAACTCATGATTTTCTTGGCTTAACCTCCCAAGCAGTAAGATTACAAGTGTGAACCACCATACCAACCCAGCTTCACAGCCAATTTTTATAACAGTTCTTCCTCTGAAATTTTTTAAATGAGGTTTCACAATTTACAGCAGTGATAGTCACTTTAATAAACACTGGGAACTTTTGATTAATTTTCTACCAGAGATAGGTTTAGAAATATTTGGTCTATCAAAACTGCAATTTTAAAAGTAAATTGTATTTCTATCTAAAAACAAAAATGGGCAGTACTACATCCTCTCCATTTTTTCATTTTCTACCCAGTCCCTCTTCTTTTCTGACTTGCTGCTTTTCCTCTTCCCTAAATGTACAGGAACTGTGTATATATTAGCAAACATTCAAAAATTTTAAGAAAATACTTTCAGAGGACAAAAGAACATAGTTTATAGAAGTAAGTACAATTGAACTATTTAATAGTCAAAAAAAATTAAGACTGCCAAACTCCTGAAAATACTGGGCAGGCTTCTCCCACTTCACATTGAATGTTTTTCAACTTCCGGTATGCTAATCACACGGCTAAAAGCAAATGTACAAAAGGTTTATGGAGCTCTCTGGCTAACCACCAACAGCTAATTCCAGAGGTCTCTCCAAGATGGAGCACACATGGGTAAGTGCCAAAGGCAAACATCTCAGACCTTCCAGTCCATTCCCAGATACAAATTGCGGACGCAGGAAAAGTATGATTCTGGGAGCCTTGGACTGATTGGCCTGGTACCTTGCTGTACATTTAGCTGTGTGGTTAATCTCCCAGAGGGGCATCTACACTGGCATGCCTGCTATTCTCTACCATCTGGAGTGTGGAGTTGATATGAGCTCGAACCACACATGTAAGAGAAAAGAAGAAGAAAGAAAAAGAACCTCATGCACTCACATTTAACTGAAATCCATAGCTGAACAACATACTACTTTGCCTAGGCTTTCCCACATTAAGAAAAGAGAAAAAAATGAAGAGTAAAGTACAAACCTTCTCCTTGGTTTTCTGGTTCTCTGCTCTGAGGTCTTCATATTCGCCTATTGCTAAAAAAAAAAAAAAAAAAAAGAAAGAAAGAAAAAAAACAAAGCAATATTACAACTCTGTCATAAGTTTACTCTGAGAAAACCTGGGGACCAACTCCCCCTTACCCATCAACTACGTTTACTAAATTGAGATAGGGTAGAAAAGGTCAGAAAAAAAAAAAACTTGCTTTCTTTTAAATGTGCGTTTTTATTATCTCTAAGCAGCTGTAGACATGGGTTTCCATTCAACATGTCTATTCATGAGTTCCATGTATCTTAGTGTCACCCCTTCATTGTTCTCCCTCTCCCATGTACCCCAGTCCTACCTTTCCCCTCAAGATACCGGGTTCCATGTTCACATATGTACATGATTAGTCATTTTTTTTAAAGAAGAGATCATAGCAGATGTGTGTCTACCACACTAAATTTCAGTTCTCCCTAGGTTACAGGAAGATGGCTGAGGCAGAAGTGACCTGAGCCAAGCCCCCTCTCCTCTCCAGTGCTCAACGCTTGGTCCTAGGAGTTGGACATGGGGTGTCCCTGAAAGGCTTCCCTGTCATTGTAACCACAAATTTATTGGGAAAATGACCACTAAGAAAAAAAAAATTGATTTGGATATTTAGTTCCATGTCCATATCTACTTTATCTAGAGCAAAAGTTTATGCTATGAACATTCAACTAAGAATGATTATTTTTTGGCAGTCATCAAACAATGACCAGAAATCTCCAGATTAAATTACTAGGTCAGAAATACATGTAAACAGGATATAGTTACAATTGTGGTGGGCAGGTTGTTGCTACATAAAATACTCTATTGCTAAAAAAAAAAAAAATTAAACAACCAGAACCTACATGTTCAACTTTTGGCAAAAGCACTATTCTTTGAGTATCTCACAAGTTAAGATACAAAGTTTGTCAGGCACTGTAATCTTAGCATCTGAAGAGGCTGACCTCTAAGGATCAAGGTCTGAAACCAGGCTGGGCAAGAAAGGCCATGAAAATCTTATCTCTAACCACCAAAAAGCCAGAAGTAGAACTGTGGTTCAAATGGCAGAGTGCCAGCCTTGAGCAAAAAAGCAAAAGGATAGTGCTTAGGCACTGAGTTCAAGCCCTAGTACTGGCACAAGACAAAAAAGAACATAAAGTTTGTAGCAATGACCTAAAATGGATGATGGAGCAGAAAACAGAAGATAAGCCTAGAACTGCTGTTTACCCTGCTCCAGCCAGATAGCCCCAGATAGTCGGTGAATCTTAGGTTGAACTTTAAGGTTTTCAAAATTGAAATGTATAAAAATATAAGACTAACAGGGATTATTTCTTTGAACAATCTGAAATCAGAGATCTACCAAAAAAAAAAATCTAAAACCATCCCAGATAATCTGATCATCAATTCCAGAAATACATAACTAACTACTAGGGTGAATAACACCCTAGAAATAAACAATTAACAAGGAAAAATATTTGCTTTGTTCCCAACAGTGATCTAAAGGGTTTAGAATACTTGCTGAATAGCACAGAAATCTTAAATATCTAATTCATATCAATAAATGTTCATGGGATTATACCATCAATGTCCAGAGATTTTATTAGCATCTATTACTATAAAATAATAATTTAATTGAAGCCATAACCCCCTAAATCCCTTGGACATTAAGTAGCTCATCATACAGTTCTGAGTAGATACAGCCCTTTTGAAAATTACTATTTTTCAACATAAAAAAAAATTTTATGGATCATACAATGAAACCCCCTGTAGTTCAGCTGCTTATCAGCTGAACATATACCTCAATGGCTGAATGTAAACCAAATTGTCCTTGAATTTAAAAAAAAAAAAATCAGGGGCTGGGAAGGTGGCTCAGTGGTAGAGCGCTTGCCTTGCATGCCTGAGGCCCTGGGTTTGATTCCTCAGCACCACATAAGCAAAAAAAGAAAAAAAGCCGGAAGTGGAGCTGTGGCTCAGGTGGTAGAGTGCTAGCCTTGAGCTGAAGAGCTGAGGGACAGCGCCCAGGCCCAGATTTCAGGCCTCATGACTGAACCCAAAAAAAAAACCATCAATGAGATGTTCCCCGTTAACTAAGAATAAGACTACATATCTGTACTTATTCCACTGGGAAGTCTATGCTCAAGGCCCCAAATCTTTTTATTGTACCTAATATTGCTTCAAGAATTAACACAAATACTTCACTGAGAGACTTTGACTTAGATGACTTGACATTAAAAGTATTTGTAGTTAAAGTTAAATAATCAAAATGGATTTAATAATCTATTGGTGAGCTACTTTATCGATATACACACAAACGAAAATGGTTTACAAAACCATAATTTCATGTTGACATTAAGAAATTCCTAATTCAAAACATTGGATAATGGTTCTGAAGATTTTAAAATGTCCATGCTATTCTATTATACTAACAATAAGCCCAAGATGAAACATCATAAACTCATTACTGGGTCTTCTTCAAAAACATTAAGGAAGAGCCCTTCAACAATCCTATTTTAATGGAAATGACATCTTTCTTGTGACTATATGCAACTTTAAAAAGATAGGGCACAAAGAAAAGAAACAAAAAAGTAGAGGAAGAATTTGACCACCTGGTGATGCACAGAGGATAATTTGGCCAAGACATAAAAGGGAAGAAAAGAGTTTGTAAGGAAGTTTAAAAGTCATATTCACCACCCTAAATAATATTTATTCACAGGGGCTGGGAAGGTGGCTCAGTGGTAGAGCGCCTGCTTTGCTTGCATGAGGCCCTGGATTCAATTCCTCAGCACCACGTAAGCAGAAAAGCCAGAAGTGGCGCTGTGACCCAAGTGGTAGAGAGCTAACTTTGAGCTGAAGAGCTGAGGAACAGCGCCCAGGCCCAGAGTTCAGGCCCCATGTTCTGACCAAAAGAAAAAAAAATCACACACACACACACACAAAATCGCATTGCTTGGGAGACTTCCGTGCTCAGTTTTACAGATACAGCATTGTGTCATTGCATTGTAAGGTCACATATGACAGTAACATATGGCTAACTCCCAGCCTGATCACCAGTAGTGGGAAGGACTTGGACAGGTAAGGTCTTCTTTTGAGCCCTTGGGTTCCACCGTGTGTTGTTATAAAAAGAAAAGGAGTTAATATACATGATTATTCAAGGCACATGAACTGGTCCATCCAATGTTGGCCAGAGTACTCACTACCGAAAGCTCATTGAATCTTAGGGCATGACCAGCAATTAGATGGCCCCCTCTGATGTCCTGAGTTTCAGGCTTCCTTTTGTCTCATATGGTCCAAAAGATAGCTGACTGGAAACAAACAAACAAAAATCTGAAACCCAAGATACTACTCTTCTCCAGTAAAAAAGGAAGGGAAAAGGGAGCTAAAGATCAAGTTCAAACCATTAGTTAGTGTAGAATAATGTGGCCGAGGCATGGAGCCATTCTTTCTGATCCTGCCCGCTCCTCAGAATCAGCCAGTGGTTTTGCAACCCCACAGACCCCAGCCCCCTCTCCACACTCCCCTTTCCACAAGATTCTGATTTAGCTCATTGAGGGTCTAGTTGAGGCATCTTTACTGCTTTTTGTAAGGGGTTCTCAAGCAATTCTAATGTGCAACCAAAGTAGAGAACCACCACATAACAGTACGTAAAGGAAGAAAAAGGACGGTTTTGGAGAAAACGAGGATAATATCAGGCAGAGCACGTGTTGCAAGAATCATGCTGTTTTTCCATTTCCTAACTCCCTAATGCCAAGTTTTCCTCCCACGCCACAAATCATGACATAGCCAGCCCAGGAGGCAGCTGAGTAGACTTACTCGTTTCAGAAATATAACAACTGAAGTTCATAACTACAAGCCACTAACAACACTTCGGGGAGGATTGGTACCCGGCTTGCTTGGGACCATCTGCGTTAGCACTGGAAGTCCAGTGTCCCTGGCAAACCTCTCCATCACTGGCAGCCTAATCACTCTCCTTCTAGCATCTTCTCACACTATCATTTCCAACTGACATTTGCCAGATAGACTTGCACTGCCCAACAAGGCAGCCATTGCAGCTATTTCCATTTTAAGCAATTAAGTACAATGTAAAGTTCCGGTTCTTCAGGTCCCTTTTTAGCATGTGGTTTAAAGACAGCAAGCTAGACACTGGACACAGAATCTTCCCAGCATAGCAAGCTGCTACTATTCTGAGTGTCTCTGTCGAGCTACCTCTCAAGTACTTCAACCTCAACCACGTAAGACATAGAACTCAACACTCTCCCTCCACCCAATTTTCTGTTTCCTGCACGAATATTTCCTTCAGTTGTGTCACCATCCACTCATCCCTCAAGATAGCACCTACAGATACCTTGAGTCTACTTTCTACTACCTCCAAAAAACCATCAAACTCCCCTGGTCTTGAAAGAATGCCTCTCCAATCTATTCTTCCCTGTAACCAAGTTCTCAACCCTGAACTCAGACTCTCAACAATGAGGATGGAGCTTCTCTCTCTCCTAGATGTGTTCATTCTTCACAAGGTAGTTAAGCACACTGACAAAGCAAGCTGATTATTTTACTTTCTTGCTTATAATCCTGCAAAGACTTGAGCACCATAATCTGGAGCCACTGCTCTCTTCCAGTCTTTTGAGACTCAGAAACTAACTAACCCACTCCATCACACCCAAAGTTTCAATGCTACCTGGACCACACCCAAATCCTGTACACCTTTTGCAAATGTTCTCCATTCAGCCTGCAGGTGTTCCTCCCCCTTTGCAATATAATTCAATTGTCTTCTATGCCCCAGGCAAAGTGAGTGCTCATAGTTTAAAATACTACCAAGTGCCCTGCTCATATTTGAGCTGAGCATCTCTCACTCTGAAATCCAGAAGGACTTCAGATTTTTAGAGTAGGAATGCTCAAATAGTAAAGTGCATGTAAATATTCCAAAATCCAAAAAGACCCCAAATCTGAACTAAGCATTTTGGCTAATGCATACTCAGCCCGTACCTCTAGAAGAGCTCCTACATATGACATTATAAACTACATGCATGCAATCCTATTT